TACTGCACGCAAAGAAGACCTTATAGTTGCGCTGTGATGCTTTCGTTCATCCCAATTTGGTGACTACGAGAGACAAATGTCACAGCGAAAAGTGATTCGAGAAGGTTCAGTCGAGGGTCAAGCGAGTCGTGGCGACGCGCGTTACTCGTTAGTACAAGTGATGGTTATGCACATATTCAAGACCTTAAAAATTAGTCTCTACTCCAGTAGCATTAGACAAGATAAAAGAGGCATGTTCAAAGAGTCCGGAAGGTTGCTAAGAAATTTGCAATAAATTCTATCCATATTGTGCTGACAACACAGAAAAGGTGCAAAATGCATCTGAAACATGTGCTAAACTTGATGCTTTATATATTGACCAAATTCAAGCGATTGGAATGTGGATGGTGGCAAACGCAGTAGCATCTCTAGTCCAATCTGTTAAAGCCTGGGCATCTGTTTATCAGTTTCACATTCCAGATTATGAAGATGAAATTGCAGAAGCACGTGTGTATATTGAGCGAGCTGGAAGCACCTTGATACCGATGTTGGAAAGTAACACACCCAATCTTGATGTGTTAAATAGAGTTGATGATTGGTTACTCTCAGCACATAATATTTTACAAAGAACTAGTAAAGATTTACAGAAAAAAATTGTTGAAGCGAAAACGCTTCGCTCGCAAAATTTCTTCTCAGCAGGTACAAAGGTTGCTTCTATCGTTACCAACTATTTGTCTTATAAAGCATCAGCAGCACAAGCTGCGGAAACTAGTTTGAAAGCACTTACAATTGGTTCAAATCTCGTACACGGAATATGCACAATAGGCGATTTGATAGCATCCGGTAAAGCACATACACTGGTATCTCATTTGGAAATTGATTCAGCAAAAGTAAAGCATCTTCAAACTCAACGGCAAATACTGGCTGCACAAGTGCGAACATTACGCTAGAGACAAAATGACATGCATCGTATGTTTGTTTGCATCATTTTGTTTTCTTCTTTTCATCCTTTTACACTTGAGGGTGTGAGGATGAGGGTGAGTATCGAAATGAATTGCCACGGCGCGTTTCGACTCGATCAAGAGTCTCTTCAGGCGGCATGACGATATTCTGCATACGATCGAAGAGAGAATTCCCATTCGAAGGTAATTCCGAAGAATACCTAACGAACGAGAAGTCAATCTCGACGATCAAAAGCAGCAGAAGGTCTATTCAATACGGGTGAGTATCGAAATGAATTGCCACGACGCGTTTCGACTCGATCAAGAGTCTCATCAATCTCTCCCAGAATAAGACGAAGACGTTTCACTAGATAGACAATAGACGTCTCGCATTTAGCTCGATGATTCATCCAATGTAGAACGGTAGTGGACAAGGAGGATGAGCAATCAGAGTTCATCGTCGAAGAGTGAGAAGATAGATTAAACGCTATTGCGAATGGATCTCATCGACGATCCGTTGAAGACGGGTAATAGTGTAATCGATCGTTTACTGAACGATGATGAAGATCCAGCAGTAGAACATGTCCGATCACTTTCACCGTGGTCGAAGTCGCTATCTATTGGACAACGCTTCCAGACCTCGTCATTGTTTTCGTCGTTTGACGATCGTTTCATCAGCTCAGTAGCCGATTCGGATTATACTCACGGACATTCGAGAAGAATCTTGTTGCGATTCAGATCCATCGGAAGAAGTGACACGTCATTGTTTCTCTCTCGGCAAGGAACGAGAGAGTTGAACGAAATCAAGAAGTAGGATAGACACACATCTTTCGAATGTTGCCGGAGACGAAGGGAAGTGAAAACGAGAAACTAGTCGAGTGGCAATGCAACGATCGCTCATTTATATAGATGATCGCTTGTTGGGTTACTTTCCGTCACGTCTACCAGCTCTTCACCATTGTACCTTCGGTCGATCCTGATCGAAGCCTGGATTCGGCCTGGGATCGTTCGGATTCGGCATGTAAAAAGATGGAATGTCCTGAATACGTGCAAAGTTGCAATCACGCTTTGGAATACGTGTGGAAACTGAGTGTGACTAATTCATAGTGGAAAGTCCAGAGTCTTCGAAAATGACCTGACTTTGGAATGTCTTTCAAGGATAAACGCTACTCTCTCCCTCTCTCTCTTTCTTGGATCCATTGAAATGGGTAACTGGTGGTCAAAAGTAACCGCATCATCGGGAAATGTTTCGTGAAATAACAATCAAGCTCTAAGCATGAAAGATGTTCAGAACGATCGATCAAAAGAGGTGGGAGTATACCAATGAATAACTACGACGTCTTTAGATCTTGTTTCAACTGGTCTTCTGATCATCGCTGTAGTCAACTCTCTAGTTCATCGAGTGTTCTCTCTTCATTTGAATTCTCATCGCAATCGAGTGGAAGTCATCGTGCTCAATAGAAGAACTGTCTTATTCAAAAGTTTGACTTTGGTGATTGTCTCTCTTTCACACTGTCGAGACT